CATTTCTTTTAAAAAAAAGTAAACCTGGTGTTATTCATCGTTTTTTTACTAAAAGTAATAATTTGAAATAAAAGCTTTGAGCTTTGAGCTTTGTTTGTGATTCATTTATGTTATTTGTTATTTATTGCACTTTGATATATGACCTGTTTTTTTCTTTTTTCTTTTCAATATACAATGCACAGAAACAATAAAACGTCGACTTATTTAGGAAAAGAAAGATCATGATTGCTCTTTTGGTATAATTAATAAATATATTCACTGTGTTTTGAAAACCTAAATAAGCGTAGAGTCTGCTTGAAATACATTATACACAATCAGTAAGCCATTACTTCATTATGCCTTCCGTTAGTTGAAGTAAAGTCTTTTACTTTGTTCATTTACAAAGCGCTAAAACGGGCGTATTATATTTTTTTGGCCAAATCAACGAGTCTTTTGACCTGGATTCAGTCTCTGTCTTGACCTTGTCTTCCCCAGGACGGACGGCGTCTTCTGATTGGTGCTCCTGGCAGCTGGTACTGGCAAGGTAATCCATACGTTTGTGGTGTCCGACCGCTACGGTCATTTTTAAATATTGACAAATGCAACTGCACACGCCATTCAAGTTCAAAGTGGTGGCCTATGGCCTACTGTGTAAACCACGCATTGTGAGGGCAAAACAGTTATGAAGACAAAGTGGGTGGAGGAGCAGGGAGGTTTTGATGTAGTAATATTAGCGAAAACTACATTAAAGGAGAAAGTATATTTTAATCTCTGAGTAATTTGTCTGACATTGTGATGAAAATCTCATCCAGAGAAGTCGTGTTAAAATAATTTTAAACATTATTTTTCTTCTAAGGAAGTTAGTGTCATAGTTTTATCACCATGAATGATAGTGGCATCTGCTTCCTAGTCGTCATAAAGCCACCAGAGAATGATAGTGGCATCTGCCACCAAAGACATCAGAAATTTATATTGGTATTGTGCTGTAGATAGGGGTTAGTGAAAAAGTAAAAACTACCCTTGCATCTACTTACGGAGACTAGGTCATGGGTGTGCATTTTACGTCATTGTTCTTTGTCCTCCTTTATGGTCAGACATGTTTGTTCTCACTGCTGACGTTTTACTTTTCAGATTTGTTAACTTAACAAGGTTTTCTTCCGTGCACGTGCCTGCTCGCCTCAGGTCACATCTGCCACTATGGCGTCGGTAAAGTGCCGAAAATAATATTTGAATAACTTAAAACTTAATCCAACACTTGAAAGTCGCCACCATTTTGATCCATTACCTCTGACCGCCACTAAATGATGTAAAAAAAAAAAATAGACCAACTGGTTTACCAGTGGAAAAATTAATAAATAGGTTAAGAACACGTTTTTTTTTAAGTTAAAGAACAATTCTGAATCATACCAGACTTCTTTTGCCTGGTTTTGTGCAGATTGACACGTTGGCCGTTAGTGATAGTTTCCCCCTACCCCTTTTAAGACAAATAAACCAATAAGAACTCGGAGGTCCTTCCCTCTTGCAAGCATCTGAAGTGCCTTAAAATGAGACCTAACCTAAATCTGTTACAGAGTTTGCTGTAAATAAGTTACGGTTTGCGTTACGGGTAGGCGTGTTAAAGGGTAAAGGAGGTCATGTGTCGTCTGACCGTGCTAAGGCTGCGGTTTTGATGCGCTGGGCATATTCATTTCTAAATACATCACAGCTTTGAGTTACAAAGTTATTAACGGGGGTTAGCACACCTACGTTATTTGGGATTAATGCACATATTGCTTAAAGAAATAGACCTACATACCCAGGGAAGGGCATTTCTTTAAAAAAATGCAGGTTTGAGTTCGCCAAATTCGTTGAAGGTTAAAGAGTTTTTAAAAAAGAAAGAAAACTGTTAACATCATTGCGGATCAAGACTTTTACTCGCTTATTACAAACACAGAAGTTAGCTACAACTAACTTTTAAAACTACTCTGTTTATTGATTATGGTCCCTGTTGGGTTGCCAGACAAAGAGATAAGATAGGCGTGTGTCTGTTGTGCGGTGCCTTAAAAAGACGCTGCCGTCTGTATTGGCGAGACAGGCACCATGAAAAAGCTTAAATAAGTAGACCATACTGATTGGATATCTGGAAACGGTAGACAAAGATCTGGGTAATGTTATGTTTTGGTTATTCGAAACACATGTGGGTAAGGCACACGGACGCGTGCATAGAGACGTATAGCGGGCTGATGGAGATGAAAATGGGATACCTGTACGTTGATACTCGTGTTTTGAGAGCCAAGTTAACTATAGTGGCGTCTTTTTCATAACAGGAGGTAGTGGCCAAGAGTTATCTATCCACATATCATTTGATTATCTCGCCATAAGCCTACTGGCATTGCCGGTTCCTCTTCGCTCTTGGGGAACGAGGCCTTCATAAGTTATGCTTGGATGCCTTCGCATCATTTCAGGCCTGTCTGGCAACATAACGGGCTAGTGATATAGATTGCCTGTTGAGTTTCTTGTAATGAATCGTCTAGAAAACGAGCTGCAGACGGCAGGAATTACCTGGAAGCTTGGGATACCAAAGATACCCCCGTCAGACGAAGAGAAGAGAACATTTTATGATTTTTTGGGAAGGATATAAAAAATATAC